TTTTTTTCTTAATTATTCAATTGTTTATTAGAGAATCTGAAAAGAAAAATGTGTAATACATTATTTCGTCATAACTTTAATGAAAGTTGTGTTGCCAAGATACAACATCTATCCATCACATGATGTTTACTTAACTTACATGTACAAATGATTAAAATGAAAGAAACGAAAAATATTGAATCATATAATGGCTGTACTTTATCTTGAAACTATGCTTACTCAAAGCATGTTTTAGCATCAGACAATCAGGTTAATAAAACTTTGATTTATTTTTATTAATTAATAGATATTATATAATAACATCAAAAATTTTGATAAAGATATGAGAGTTTATAAGAATAAAACAGAGAAAAGTCAAACTGATGAATGTGGTGGAAGTAATTGTTTATCATTTTCATCATGAGAAATATTTTTTTCTAATGGAGGTAATAATTTTGAAGGGTGGTACATAGACCAAGTAGCAAGAGCAAGAACAATGGGACATAGATGACCTGTATAAAACCAAAGTTCATTTTGTTTAAGAAGAAAGAAAAAAGATGGTATTGATATTATTTGAATATAAATAGCTTCAATTAAAACACATGCACTTGATACAGCTAATAATGGTAAAATATAAAGACGACGAACATGTGGTATTGATAAATACCAAATAATATAGAAGATTAGAGATAAACTAAGAATTAATCCACCTGATGATTGTCGAAGATAAAAAGTTAATTGATAATGTTTTATATCGAATGAAAGTTCATCAGCAATAATAAGAAATATTTCTGCTATTATTACTATAATAGGTATTGTAATATCAATAGTTCGATCAAGTATTCTACGTGCTTGTTTTCCACGTAATTCAACTAGACAATAATAATTAGCTAAAAGTAATAATCGAGGTGATAAACTTAATAATCGTGCCGTTATTTTATATAATAATTTTGTATTTAATATATCGATATAAAGTGTTCCTCGTAAAATTAATTCAATAAATGTAGTTAAATGTGCAAGAAATAGAAATATTGGTAATGCAAGTGGACGACATCGAATATGTAATGATTGAATAAACCAACCAAGTAATGATATATATACAAATATTGAAAAAGTTCCAGCACCAAAACGTGATGGAATATATGAATAATATGGATAATCAATTTCACTTATATTCATCTTAATTATATTTTAGTTTTTTCCCTTTTTAATACTAACTTGTTTAAGAATAAAAATGATAAACTACTATGTTCATCAATACGTACAAATGAACGATACGAAAATTAATTATATGTAATACACAAAAAAAAATGTTCTTTCAAATTTCTACATAAAATATCTGCATGACGCATTCTATGACCATGTACACGAGGAAGGACATTGAATATGCAAAGTACAAAAAGAAAAGAATGAAAAGCTGCAATATTGTACAGAGAGAGAACGACAAATTAAAAAAACTAGTTTATCATATATGTAACATGTATATATCTATGAAATTAACAAATACATATCTGATCAATCAAAGAATAGTTGTACATATACAATATATGTCATTCTTATAATTATTTTTTCATAATTCGTGATAATATATACACAGAGAAGAAAATTAAAAAATAGATCTTGACAGCTATTGCTTTAATATTAAATTTTAATCTGTTTAGTTAACATATAGAAGTTTATGTGAAAATATCATGATAAATTCAACTAAAATTTTTATTTCTATAATAAAAAAGTTCAATATAAAGAGAAGAATGATTTTTATATAAACATACTAACTATTGAATAAATAAAAACTTCTACCGACTATTTCAAATGTTCAATCGAAAAAAGAATGTTGATGTTGTCTTGAGTAATTTGAATAATATATTTCTGTATTATCATCATAGTTTTATAATAAATCAAATGAAGTATCCTTCAACTATCACATAAACTTAATCACTAAATTATATTTTTTTTAAATAAGCTTATATCGTTAAGAAATTAATAAAATAATGAATTTTCTTCTCCGCCAAAGATTTCAAACTGCGTCATTTATATTCTTCCAATAAATTTCGTAAACAATCTTTGATGAATCATCTCTCATTAAAGTTATTAATATGGAATATATTCAATAATTTTATTAGATAATGATATGTTGCGCTATCAGCGACATGAAAGAGAATAGGTTTTTTCCTCTAGAACAATATGATTCTCTTTTGAAATGATTAATTATAGTTTATAATAAACTTATCTAAATTATTCAAATTCTTAACATTCTTTTTTCAATTAGATTTATGAAATATCGTATAGATATTTAAAAATTTAGTCAATATAAATCAATTTGAGTTCTAATATAATATTAGATGGATGGAGGTGGTCGAAGTAATTCTTTTCCAGTAACATCATGAGGTACAGCTGATTCTAATGGTGGTAATAGCCGCCAAGGATGATAAATAGACCATGAAATCAGAGCAATAAAAATAGGTATTAAATGACATACATAATAATAAAATTCACTTTTAGTAAGAATAATAAATAGAGAAGGTATTGACATTGCTAGAACATAAATAGCTTCAATTAAAATACATATACTTGATATTATTAATAATGGTAAAAGATAAAGACGACGAATATGTGATACAGATAAATACCAAATAAGAAAAAAAAATATTGATAAACCAAGAACAAATCCAGCTGATGATTGTCGAAGATGAAAACTTAAATAATAACGTTTAGAATGAAATGAAAGTTCATCAGCAATACATAATATACTATCCATAATAATAACTCCAATAGGTATCATTGTATCCATAATACGATCAAGTATTTGACGTGGTTCTTTTCCTCTTAATTCAACTAAACATCGATAATTTGCAAGTAATAATAATCGAGGTGATAAACTTAATAATGGTGCTGTTATTCGATATAATAATTTGCTTTTTAATACATTTATATTCAATGTCGAACGTAAAACAAGTTCAATAAATGTTAGAAAATGTGATGCAAATATAAATATAGCTAATATACATGGACGACATTTAGAAATTAATGATTGAGCAAGCCATGCAATTGATGATATATATATAATAGTAGCAAATATTGCAGCAGCATAACGAGATGGGATATAAGAATATAATGGATAAGTATTTTCTATAGAATTGTTCATATTTTCTATAAAATATCAAATAATAATCTTACTAGAATGACATTTTCTATTCTAAAATAGGAAATAAAAAAGAGAGAGGATGAGTTTATTTTAATATATAATGCGGACAAAATTGGTTTTTTTTCTTTTTTTAGTTTTTTTTTCTGATGTCAAATTTATTCTTTATTGATGAACATGATAAAAAGATCTACATAAAACATAAATGAAAATGCTCGTCTGCGTACTTGAAAGAACGACAAAAATAGAGTATAGAAGAATGTTTACTCAACAAATGAAAAGAGAAAAAAAAAAGAAATTGAATGTTCAATACTATATATATATATATAATACTGATTATTAGTTTTGAAAAGAATCAAAACTAATATTAAAGATAAATATAATAATCAGATGAATAATTTTTTTTTGTTCTTGAAAAACTTTTCTTATTTATGAAAATCAAAATGATTTTCTATGCAACACTGTGTACTTCCGGCAGACTTTGTTCTAACCCTATATTTCTTTTTTTTTTCTTTAAGATTATTTTGCTTTTTTTTTTAATTAAAAAAAATTCCATTCATTTTTTGTAAAAAGAAGAGAAAAAGAAAAGAATCTATTGCACTTCATCGCAATCTTCAACAAATAGATCTATTGTTTATTTATTATATGCACAACATCATATTAATTTTTTTCAGTAGAATACTTCTCTTCTTTTTTTCTTTTTTGAAGATTAGAAAGAACTATTTGATCATAGAACACTGAACAACTTGAAAAATTTAGTAAATAATAAATGATCATCAGATGAAAATAGACACAAAAATATTAAATTATCTACGCACACTAGATATACTTTTATTATCAATATCATTTCCTTTACTCTTTTCCATACAAATTATTCTTGGCAGACTGTCTATTAAAGAAATATATATATATATATATATGTAATAATTTAATTATAATTTTACCTTATGTTGTTCTTAGAGAACATAAAATTATTGAATGATGTTAGAAATAAGAAGAATAGACAACTAATACTTCGAGTAATAAGATAATTGAATTGAAAAATATATCCAATGATGTGCAAGAATAATTCATATATTGAAAAACGGGGCAAAGATTATTATGAATTAATTCTTTTAGATTTTTTGGTAGAATGTTTATAGTGGTTAGAAGAGCTTTATTTCTCTTCATATATTTTACCATTATATCCGGTATTTCCCCTTCTTGCGGATCATCAACATACTCAGCTCAGTCATTTTTGGTTCTTTTGTCTGCGTTCCAAGGATTTTCTCTTTGCATATTTGTTTGATGAGTTATCGCTCGAGGATAAATGTTACCATTATTAGAATAGATATTTCTTAGCTTTATCCGATTCAGGTGATGGTGAAATGATTCTAGATAATCTTGGATAGAGGAAGATTATTCTATCAAATATTTGAGAGTTTACAAAAGATATATATTGATAACGAATCAGTATTTGCAACATGTATAGAATGGATTTCTTCTGTTCAATACTACGATATGGAGTCATATTGTAGTGCTTTTTATTTTGTTGTATCATCTCTCATGTCTTGTAATAATCTATTCTTATTGATAACTATGAGTGTTATATTTTCTTGTACTCTCCATTTTTTAATTTTACAGAATTACTAAAATTTTCGCTCAGAAGCGACTTACAGTTCTAACACATGGATTTTTTTCCATATCTGTAAATTTTTCATTTGTAATGACTCGTTCAATGACTTGGTAGAATAATTCAATTAGTCTGAGACTCGTACGATCATAGGTGATATGAATAGTGATCTTCATCATACGAGGAGTTTCAAGCGACTTCATAATAATCCTTAGTTCAATAATAAAAAAATAATCGATCGATCAGCTCATACCTAGGTAATATTTAACGTATAAGATATTTTTTTAAGTAATATTGGTCTGATTAAATACACAGACTCAATATCTAATGTTTGCAAATAGTTTTAGAATAATTGCTCGAAAAACATAGGGAACAGTAAAATTGCTTTTAATAATAAACAGATAATTTTCATCAAGACTTAATAAGTAAAAAAATGGCTAAATCTTAGGTGAAATACATAAAATATAAAGTCTATTTATGAATTGATGTTCGTATTAAATAATTTAATATAATCCTATTCTAAGTATTTTCATCATATGATAAATATTTCTATTGAAGATATAATAATAGAAATTCTTTGTAAAATATTTGCTAAAACAATATAATATTCATATTATTCAATGACAATTATTTTTCAACGAATGAGATGTACAAGAAAAGTATTAGAAATCATTGACTGAAAACTATTTCTTTCGGTTAAAAACAAATTCGAATTTTGATTAAATGTTAATTAATAGAAATGTAACAAAAAAAATAATATTCGTTGAACTTATTTTATTTTTATTATATAATTTATAGTTAACATAGAGAAAACTTTTAAAGAAATATAATCAAATTAATATCTTTATCTATGTATACATATATACAAAAATATAATTTTATAATGATACTGTTCGTCGAAGTATTACTAGACGAACGTCATAATGTTGATTATCTTGTTTTGATGAAATCAATAATCTCCATGGATGAAAAACTGACCACATAATAAGAGTAATGACAATTGGTACTAAATGACATATATAAAACCAAAGTTCACTTTGAGTGAGGGCAATGAATAAAGTAGGTATTGACATTGCTTGAATATAGATAGCATCAATTAAAACACATGTACTTGATATTGTTAATAATGGTAAAATATAAGGATGACGAATATTTGGTATTGATAAACATCGAATAATATAAAAGAATAAAGCAAGACCAAGAATAAATCCAGCTGGTATTTGTCGAAATTGAAAACTTAAATAATGATAATTAGGTTTAAATGATAATTCATTCGCAAAAGCTAAAAGTAAATCTGCAGTTACAGCTGTAATAGGAACAACAATTCCAATAACTCGATCGAACATATCACGTGGTTTTTTTCCTCGTAATTCAATTAAACAATAATAATTTGCAAGAAGTAAAAATCGAGAAGATAAACTTAATAATGGTGCTGTCATTTTATATAATATTTTTGTATTTAATATATTTATATTTAATGTAGCACGTAAAATAAGTTCGATAAATGTTGTTAAATATGCAGCAAATACAAATAAAAATAAAAGAAATGGACGACATTTTATATATAATGATTGAGCAAGCCATGCAATTGATGAGATATATACAATTGTGGCACACGTACCAGCAGCATATCGGGATGGAGTATACGAATAAAATGGATATTTTGTTTCATTTAAATACATCATCATCAGTGGACGTTTCTTCTTTAAATTTTCAGTAACTTACTATAAATATAGTTTTTGATAATATCTCTATTTCTAGATGTTTGTATTTGTCTGTAATCAAAAAAAAGAACGAATGAATGAAGGAAGGTGAAAGTGGCACTAGATTAACTTTCTATAGTGTAAGAAAATAATATTTCTATTCTGTCTTGTAAGACATGAAAAATATTCTTTATGTTAATATGACTAGTAGACAGAATTTAGAAAAGAACGACTAAGAACATTCACAACATTTTGAAACAAGAGGTAAAAAAAGAATGTCATCATGTTTTACTAACTTAGTAAGAGAAGAAAAAAAATCTATATGAAAATATCCGTTCTAAGCTACTTATTATTTTTTGTATCTATAGAATTATGACAATGATGATTCACTTCGAGGTCTATTAAATACTATTATTGACAAATAAAATAAGTTATCAATAATATTCATTTGTTTATCGTTGAATATTTAAGAAACAATAAATTATATGTAATGTTGTCTTTTCAATAGAAATTTATTTTTCTCATGCCGCTGTTTTTTGTTGTATCATGTAACACCACTTATTGAAATTTCTGTTTTCTAATAAAAACAAGGCTGATTTTTTAAATAAATATTTACTATTTAGTTTTTTATCCGTAAATTATGTCGATAATTATCGTAGTTTATTTTTGTTAATAGAAGAGAGATTCTATGAAAAATAGAATGGTAGACTAATAACGCCTAAAGTCACGAGTTAAAATAGCTATATTAAGACAGACGTCAAATAATACTTCTGCTATATTGATCTCTTTTTTCACAATAACGGGTCAACAATTCATACTTTGATGCTTTAATCTTTCAAATATAAATATATATATCTAATAGAAACTTTCAATATTTTTTTATTTGTGATGATATGTCATAAAAAATATCATCATACAATATATTTACAATTATAAGTTTGTAGAGTATAAGATATTTATTCTGTCAGTCTTGTTTATATATATGACAATAGTATATCAAATTTTGTTACTATGAATCAACATCACTTTCATAGGAAACAAAAGTAATTAATTTGAAGAGGAATCAAGAATTTGAAAATAGAAAATCTAATATATTATGTCGATGTAATAGAGAAAAGAGATAAATTAAAGAAGACAAACAAGAAAAAGAATTTGACATGACTATATATACATATAAATTTATTTTCATTCTAGATTTCATGTATTAAATCAATCATTGAAACAATAAATGAGCGAATAATTTGTTCTGTCTTATGGCAGTTCACATGAAAATATTCTTATTTACAGAAACATCAAGAGCACATATATAAATGCTTTCATTATCTTTTTACATACAATTACAATTACAATTAATATATATACATTTTTGAGAATTTATAAGAGTCTTAAATAACGATGTAGATGTGAATAGAAAATCATTTTCAGACAAATACAAAACAAAATGGTAAATGAAAATTTAATAGTTCGAGTACAACATATCTTTAGGGTGTTATATGAAACTGACATATACATTTGTACTAGAATAGGTGTCACTATTACATAGAATACATGAATATGAAATATTTTATGTTCGTGTTTATAATGCATTGTTTAATTTATTAATGTCGACAAGTTGTATACAAATAAATATCTTTTATTGCTATATTGATCGTATTCATCATTTTTATGATCCAATATAGACGCGAGCACTGTTTGGCATTCCACCATTACTTTTAAGATAAAAACTAATTGTATAATGGGAACCTTTAATAGTAGAAAAATCAGTATACAAAAAGTCTGCAGCGCCCGTCGATCCATCATACCAATAATAAGTTCCTGATTGTGGATTAGGTGGATCGTTTTTAATAAACCCTATATTGGTCGCATTATATGGATTACATAAAAGCCAATTGGTGGTATCACCTAAAGAAAAGGCTCCATTGTTTATCAGTTCTGTACTTGATCCCATTTGTATAGCAGATACAGTGTCAAGGAACCAACTTGCTGAATCCATACGAAATGAAAATGTAAGACGTGTTAAATTAGTAAGAGCAGTATAACTATAAGAATATTGAATGTAAATTCCACTACTAACAACATTTACTAAACTAAGTAATGTTATTGCATTAGTTAAGTTTATTGTGCAATTCGATCCTGTTATTGTAGCAGGACCTAGAAAAAGAAAATATTAACATGTAAATTTTATTCCTTTTCTTAATCATTAATCTCAAAAAGAATATAACATAGAAGTGAATTACTTTTAACACTACTACCTGAGAGTATCAGTGTTGATATAAAGTTAAATGAAGATGAAAATATAAAAAATTACATTTCTTTCTCATATACATATTTCTTGCTTGCGACAAGCGATGAGGAAAAAAGATAATATAGGAATCGATTTTTTATGTGGATTCTTATTTAAAATCAAGATAGAAACAGAATGAAAATTTTTGTACTAGAGGAATTAATTCTTATAAATTTGTTGAACATGTTACTATTGATGCAGAAGATTCTCTATAAACATTTGTTAAAGTGAATAATATTTCACAGATAAAAAGTAAAACTTCTCAATTGAGCCATTAGAACTTATTATCAACTGGGTAACATAAGAAAAATACTATAAATAATCTCTCAAAATACTCACTAGTTCTTGATGTTGGCAATGATGTTGATCTTGACGATGATGTTGATGTTTCTGATAACGTAGTTAATTCTATTTTGAAAAGCAAAATTAAAATAAAGTAAGAAAATTAAATAAAAATTGATTAGTTCCTAATTTATTAAGAATGTATCGTGATAAAGTTATAGAAGTTCAGATATAATTTTGCCTTGACGATATTTATGTTTAATTTTATTTTTGTTTTAGATATTTAAATGAATGTGATAAGATGTAATACAACTTTAACAGTTTAGAAGTTAATAGTCAAAGATTTAAAAAAGATGTTCGTTCCTATAACTGTTTTAATTAGAAATGCATTGTTTAACAAAAGTTTTTCTGATATGTTCGATTTATTGAAATATCCTATAAGAAATGGTTATCATCTTTTATACATTGTAATTATTATTGTAATCATATAATTTGTGATACATGTAGGAAGTTATATTTTATTGATTGCATGATTAATTCTCTTTATTTTCTTAAATGTTCTGTATTAACTCACTGAAATCTTATCTATCTTGTAGAACTGAGTGACCTATTAATAACAAGATTTTCAATCCAAACAAAATTATTTCTAACTTATCCTTTTAAAAACTGAAAAGAATACTTTTGTAGAGTAATACCTTGTCATCATACCCAAAGTTATTATTCGTATATTTGTCATTTATAGAACTACTTACTAAAAATGTATAATTAGATCAATGATCAATTCTGTTTGTAATAATAAAACTTAGTTCTCATTTTTATCTGTTGAAACAATCAGTTATTTAAGAAGAAAAATATTATCTTTAATAAACTTACTATTTGATTGAACCGTTATTATTGATAATTTTGATTGATTAATAAAGATAAATGTTGAATTTGAATAAAATTCAATTATAATTGAATTGTTGGTATAATAAAATAATTGACAAGTTTGATTTGTTTGAAAATAATTTAAAGTAAATATTAATCCATTTGATTTTATCATTTCACATTTACATTGATTTTCAGTTATATTTATTAATAAATTATTTGTTGTACCAATTAATATATGATTATTTATCTTACCTATAGCGATAGATTCAATAATAGGAGATAACGATAAAATAATTATTATGCAAAACATATCGTATAGTTCTTGTTTTCTTCTCACTAATGCTTAAATAATTTTCAGAAATTAAATTTTCTTTTACATTTTCAAAAACTCTTTTTCTCATTTGAAATGTGCATTGAATCGTAAGGAGAAAAATGCTCTGTATTTTATATATATATAGATTCTTTGTTTAAAAAAAAATTTATTGTATATAATGAGAAATCTTCAAATATTTAATGGAGATAAAAAAAAAAAGAATTTCGGTAAGAATCGCAAGAGTTTTATTCGAGTTTCTTAAAATATTGTATATTGAAAGTTATCGTTATCTTAACATTCACAATAGAGATAAAAGTAATATTCTATTTCGTGAAAAGAATTGTTTTTGTAAAATGCTTATTTAATTTTATAAAAAGAAGAAAAACACTTCTGATAAGTAGGAAATTATTTTACTTGTATAAAAAAATTCAGGAAATCCGGAATTGTCGAAGAGATACTAAAACTAACAGATGAAAAACGCCTTTTAAGGACACACACAACAGTATAATGACTTTTGCAAGAAAGTCAAACAGTCAGCAACATAGAACAAAACACATTGAATATACGATCAAGGCAAGGAAGTTGAAAGGGGTTTGAAAATTGTAAATACTAGATATACACATAATCTAATAAAAACGCTAAGAAAGAAATTTTTACATCGGCTAAATGTAATATGTTTTAATGTATAATGTATAAATAAATTTAGGGATGGGTGTGGGTGTCTCTTCTTTACCTTATTCACACCCACACTCACCTTTTTATAATGAGAAGATATTATATATCTGTTTTTTATACATGTATTTTATAGTGCATGCTTACATTTTCCAGTACTATAGGAAGAAATTCATTTTGTTAGTGACAAACAGATCTTGTTTGTTCTGCGTCTTGATTATTTTTCTTTGACCGACGCATCGATAAAAATATGAAGAGTAATGTTACTTTTTGTTATTTCAAAAGAGTAGAAATAGAAAGCAAATCAGTTAACAAAAGCAACAAAAAGGCATAAAACTAAAAACGGCAAATCATTAGAACATGAAGATATATATATATGTGAGTGGATTAGGTAAGAATCAACGAAAATGTCGTATCTGTCTTTAACATAGACGATCACTGTAGGTATAAGTATTTCATTTAATTAATACTCATATATGAATATGTACTCTTATTTTTAATAATCAATTCAAAAAATGATTCCAATATTTGAAATACATTTTTCTTATTATAAATAAAGACCTTGAGTTTTTTTTCAAATTTTAACCACCATTATACGAAATGAAAAATCAAACAAATGTCACTTATAATCTTGCTTTATTTTCATCTTACAATAGTTGCTTAAGTATAAAATTCAAAGAATAGAGAGAAGAAATGGCAGAAAACATTAATCGAAAAGAACAGAATAAGACAGAAAAATAATGTTGACACTCAAAATTCTTTCGCTTATAGACGATTCACCACCAAGCCATGCTGCATTGTAATGTGAAAAATAACAAACATATGATTTCTTATTTAATAAACTTTTTATTTAATTCATTTAGTCGGTTTAGTTTCTCTAATCATCTTATTCTCTTTCGACTTATCTGGGTAACGTATAAATTCATGCACTAGAAATCAGAGTTAAATATTGTTAAGACTTAATTATTAACGTCTTTATAAAGCATGATTTACAGAAATCCGTAGATCTGTTCAATATGTGTGCTACGAATGTATTTATTTCTGAGTCAGATTTGCTAGTTCAGTTACATAAGTGAAGTTAGCTACGGATTTGAATAAATAATTTCATGTCCGATATGCCTTCGGAAATATTTGAATTTGTTGACAACTTTATTTTCATATTTATCATGTATTTTTAATCTAAGTCATTCTTTACAGATATCAATCTTGAATATCAATGTTAATAATCATTATTGTATTGTAATCTGAACATATACTCGACAATCTTACTATAAAAGTGAATAATTCGTACATAATAGACTTCAACGCTGATTGATCTTATACACCCTCAAGATAAATATTGTTTGGTTTGCATATATTCACGAATCGATCAAATTACGGAAAATAAATTATTAATATTGTAACGATAAAAATACTGCTATGAATCATCAATATTTAGGATATATAACTCTTATAAGAGATCATTTGAAATTACCATTACTACTGCTATCGTTAAATAAAACTTTACGCATTTTATTATTCATGTTGTTTATATTTTTGGCTTTGATTATTATCATTTTCGGATTGGTCTTGGATAAATATCAGTTATCCCCGATTGTTCTTCCAATACTATTATTAAATACTGCTACTACTACTTCTACTACTGCTACTACTGCTACCACTACTGCTGCTATTATATTTCGACCGTACCCATTAACGAATCAAGATTGCAAAAGTTATGATTTTAAAAGACTACGACGGCCAAATATAAGTCACGTCACTCTACCAATCTACGATTATTTTATCTTTCATGACGAACTCGACACACTTGAAATTCGTTTGTATGAATTATATAACTATGTTACTCTTTTTCTTATTGCAGAAAGTCAAACAACATTGACTGGTAAATCTAAACCATTATATCTCAAAGAAAATTGGCAGAAATTTGAAAAATATCACGATAAAATGCGACGAATTGAAGTCGAGTTAGATGAAAATCCAAGAGGACAATGGACCAATGAAATCAAAATGAGACGAGATGGTCTTCTTCTAGCTTTGGAAAATCAGACACAGTGAGTAAGTAAAAGAGAAATCGAAATAGAAAAAAAAGCTTATTTTCATTCTAGAGATATTTTACTTCTAACGTCGGATGTAGATGAAATACCTAAAGCTCATTTTTTATATCTATTAAATGCATGTGAATTACCAAAACCATTTCCATCGCTAGTATTAGTATGTGCTTATTATTATTATTCCTTCGAATTTCGACGTCAAGGTGGTGCTATAGATGGTCCTACAGTATCTTTCTTAGCTGGAAATCGTACCAATCGAACGATGTCTCCAGATGGTAAATATGTGCGTGATGAACGATTTAGTTATCAACCTATGCCGAGTGCTTGTTATCATTGTTCATGGTGTTTTGATCGTATTAATTTAACACGAAGTAAACTGGCTTCTTTTTCTCATTCAGAATTGAATAGAGCTGAATATCATACACAAGAACATATTATTGATCGATATCGACATGGAAAAGATTTATTTAATCGACCTAGTGAAATATATATACGCATCGAAAACAATGATGAAATACCTGAACTGATTAAAGCACAACCAGAACGTTTTTCTTATCTCATTAATAGAGCGGCATTAGTTAATGCTGGCTTTCGAGATGTAACACAAACTAATTCTTCTGAAAAACAAAGATAAATATCGTAGAAATCATCCTGCATATACTAAAAAATGTTCATTGAAATAATTGTTCGATAGTCATGGGACTATGCACGTAAAAATATGAAAATAGATGGATTATATGTGTAAGTTATGAATATCAAATCAAGTTTTGATCAATCTTTCACTATCTGCATTTACAATACTCTTAGTTCTAAATTTTATTGTTTTGAATGTTATTTTATATTAGAAGATTTGAACTGAATAAATATATTGAAGTTGTTTCACAAAAAAAGTTCCGTAACTGTGAGCTTACACATTGAACGAAATATTTAAATAGAAACATGATATGAAGAATTATTTATTTATCAAATCGTTTTCAATCATCTAATTGTCTATGAACATGAACATGGCTATGAAATAAATAATGTATTTAAACAAATGTTATTTTGAAGAAATCATAGTAACTACTAGATTAAGTTATATTCAGTAGAACTTTGTTAATTATGATCTTATTGATTAATGTAATCATTGAAAAGATATACTCTCAAATAAACTAAGAAATAAACACAAATGGCTTTCTGTACATTCTTAGTTTATGATTCAATCATTCTGAAGGTTGAAATTTTTTTCTTTTTTTTGAAGATGAGAAGAAAAAAGAAAATTAACTTGTGAAAAGAGGTGATTGAGAAATTGTTAATGATTTTTATTATTGTATATTATAGAATTTCATTTTAAAAATCAAGTATGTTAGATGACTCCAGTCTGATTTTGTTGTATTAGTATTAATATAAAATAATACTTTCTACTGAATGTTCCACATTGAGTTACACAACAGAATTGAGACCCTGTAAAAAGAAATTTCCACTAACAACTGTTAAGTTACTTTTCATTAGATACTGTTTTATATTAAAGAGGGGTCGCATATTACCAGTAATTCCCACCGTTTGAAACTGAAAATCATATACTGGATTAGTTGGTTGTCTACAAAGAAGGAATGTATACCGATGTGGTGCAAATGACAAAGGCGTTGGTTGAGCATACATGGTATTTGGTGGTAAATCGAGTGGTGCTCGAGGATTAGTTGAATTACACGGTAATACATCGTGAACGATCCAATGTAAAATTGAGCTCAAGATATTCAGTTTTGGATTTGGTGGATCGGGATCGAACATGATTAATGTATATTTGGCATTGAGATAGTCGACTTCTTGTCCAAAATAGAAACTAGGTCCGCTTAATACCAGTGTCTGTAGCGTACTTATTTCATTACCAAGTGTAACATTAATGGATTTACCATTCAATGGTTGAAATTGTAAATCTAGATACGTAGTAGGTATGAAAGTAGGAATGACATCGGGAATAATATCCGCTTTAAAAAAAGCTTGGTAAATCTCATCCAATCGAATTTGACTACCGGCAGGACAAAACGAGCATGATTGTTCAGCAGTGATAGAACTGGTTTGTAGCAGAAATGCGATTATTATAAATGAAGCAAACATCAGTACTTTCTTATTATAAATGTTTATGTATACCTACGACTATAAACAATCGCATCTTGTTTTTATACTCGTCCTTTTTTATTAGTCAATATCTTGACGTCACATATCTATAATATACATTAACGGGCTGATAAGCTTAATTTTTTGACGGTAAAAAAGTATAACAACAATCATATTTAGTCTATTCTGTGTGATCTCACATGTATTTTCGACTCTTTGACTGTGAGGCGTGTATCCTCTAATGAAATGTGGAGTGTGAAGATGATCC